CCCAGCAGCCAAGGGCATGGGGCTGTCCCTGCCCATCTTGGCTGAGAGCCAGTTCCCTACCCCTCCTGCTAGGTCCTAGCCTGGGGGCAGTGACCAAAGGTGCCTCATTCCCCAGGCCCACGAGGGGAAAGGAAGCCGAGACCCATCAGGCAGTGAGCCCAGCCCGGGGGAACTTGGGAGGACCTGCCCTGAGGTGGGAGCCTCCGTGCTCACTGTAGGGCCCAGAGAGCCCAGCGGAGCTGTTGCCTTTCCAGTAGCAGAGGGGCAAGACTTTGCCATCCTGTCCTACCTGCTCCAGCTCCTGCTGGCGTGGCCACCCACCCGCTTCTCTGCTTCCAGGTGATCTTTGTCCTGCGCAAGAAGAACGAGCAGATCACCTTCCTGCACCTCTTCCACCATTCGGTCCTGCCTTGGAGCTGGTGGTGGGGAGCTAAGTTTGGCCCAGGTGAGGGCTGTCTCCTGCAGGGTAGATCTGGGCCCCCATGCCCAGTTAGACCTGTGCAGGCTCTGCAAGGGCAGATCTTCTCACTGCTGTTGGAGGAGCAGGCGTGGAAGTAATGGCCAGGGCTGACGGGTGCACTGGGGTCCTTGGCAAGATGCTTGGGCAGAAGGGGTGGAGCTGGGGGCCAGCAGCCAGGAGTCCCCAGGCTGCAGTAGCTGTGGCCGGGCGTGTTGGGCTCTGGGGCAGCTGCTGTTTGCGCGCCCGTCGGCCCTGCTGGCAGGTTTCATGCCCTGGGGCCAGCGGCCAGCTCTTCCTGGTGCACCGTCCCCGCCCACTGTGCTGCCCAGAGGTGAGACTTCCCGGGCACGGGCGCATGGTCGTCTCCCAGCCGGGCTGCAGCTAGTGGCTGAGTCAAGTCACCGTGTGGGCTGGGAGCCCGGCGGGGACATGGGGAGGGCTGTGGTGCAGCCTGGCTCGCTTCCCAAGGCGCGCTATGGAGCCTGTGCCTCTCCTGTGTCCGGCAGGGGGAATGGGCTCCTTCCATGCCATGATCAACTCCATGGTGCACGTGGTCATGTACACCTACTACGGGCTCTCGGCGGCCGGGCCCGCCTTCCACAAGTACCTGTGGTGGAAGAAGCACATCACGGCCGTGCAGCTGGTGAGTCGGGGCTGGGTGTCCTGGGAACGACCCTTTGGCAGGGCGAGAGGCCCCGTGGGGCTGTGGCAGGAGCGCGCTGAGGCCTGCCCGGGGATGGGCCTTTGCTCCAGCCAGGGTGCCTCCGTGGTGCTCTCCGTGGGGCTGGGTGGCCGGGGAAGGGGCGTAATGGGGTTGGGCTGCTCCCGTCCCCCATGAGTAACCCGTCCTCTCTCTGCCTCCCCTTCCTTGCTGCACGTCCGCCACGCCGGCTCCCAGGCCCAGTTCGTGATCGTCTCCCTCCACATCTCCCAGTACTACTTCATGCCCAGCTGCAGCTACCAGTTCCCCATCTTCATCCACCTCATCTGGATTTATGGGACCATCTTCTTCATCCTCTTCTCCAACTTCTGGTACCACTCCTACACCAAGGGCAAGCGGCTGCCCAAGGGGAGCCAGGACCCCCCCCTGCTCCAGCACAACGGCAGCAGCGCTGTCCCCAACGGCAAGGTCAAAGCCAACTAGAGGGCCAGCCCCTCCCCACGCCACGGAGAGCCCCAGGGCAGTGGGGGCTGGGACTGCCCCCTGCTCCTGGGTGTCTATAGCCAAATCAAGTGCCTACAGACTGTTGTACCCCAAGTGCTGGCGCCGCTCCCTGCTGCCGTCTGCCTGCCCTCTGCTCCCCCGTGCTGGGGGGCACCTGCTGCTTCCTGCCATGTGAGCAGAGGGGCAGCCACCCACATCAGCGGCAGAGGGGCCACAGCCCTGTCCCCCTGTGTCCAAAGGAACTTCCCCATAAGTGCCTGTTTGCCCCTCTGCCAGGTTCCTCCCTGCACGGGGGAGTGGGACCAGCCACGTGGAGAAGAGGGGGTGTCGCTCCTGTGCCCCTCTGCTCTGTGCTGCTGCCTAGGAGTGCAATGCCCTGAGCCTCACTCCTGCCTCAGGGACCCTGGACCCTTCCTGCTCCCGCCTGGCCATGCCCTGGGGCTGCTGGGCTCTGGTGCTCCGGGCCGGCTCGCCCGCTCACTACTTGAATGGGAGGCTGGGCCAGCTGCCCTTTCTCACCCAGGCCGGTTGCGCACAGGGGCCATGCTCCCGCCCGGCCTCCTCCCTTCGTCCCGGACTGGCTGCGGCTGCCTGGGAGCGAGCCTGGGCTGGCCCAGCAGCTGTGCACAGTGGGTGGAGGCTGGAGCCCGCTCCCTCGGGTGCCCCCACTGGCCCTTTGTGCAGTGTCCCGCAGCAGTGCCCTTAGGCCCGTGGAGGGCAGGGGGTTGCTCATGGGATTTTCCACTCTGGCTGTAGCCAAAGCCTGGTGGGGGCACAGCCGGAGGGCGGTGGGGGCCGAGCACCCCTCCCCCAGAGCCGGGGCTGCTCTTGTGTATCTCCAGAAATAAAGAGAGAAGGAGGCAGGGCTCT